TGCAAAGAGATAAAAGGCAAAGCCAAGCCGCCTCGGCTTGCAGCATTTCACTTGCCTTCACAATTCAAAAGCCTAGATTTGATATTGATATTTAATGAAAGCATATACGTTTAATTGTAAATGAAATTTGCGCTGCGAATGTTAAAATAGCAGCCAAAAACCGTGCACTAAAAGTCCAAAAACTGTATCCAAATAAACGTGTACGAAAGCCCCCGCGAAATGAAACCCATTGATTTGGCAATGTCGAACCTGGAATGAAAATTGGAATACTTCGAACTGTGCCTGGCCAGAGAATGGGAAACTGCGTATTGAAAACTGCGGGTATGTGAGCGTGTGTGGATAAGGTTCAAGTATTGCGCATTTTCATTTCGCTGGACTAGACTTTATTGAAACAGGTCGATGTTCATCTAGACGTGGAATAGGCATAGACCATAATGGGAATACTGCGATAGACCAGAATGGCGGCTGCGTTACACAAACGCGGATATGGGCAAAACCACAAGCGGAGACTTGAAGTGGGCGGAAATTGAAATACAACTGGCTCAGTATCACAAATGCTGCCAGCTGTCGCCTATGGTCCGATTGGGTTGCGGGCGTGGAATAGGAAAGTTAATCCATCGAATTCGAATGAGACCTAACTGAATGGTATCACAGTAGTGCAGTCGGGAGTAGAGACTCGACAGATGCCGCTGCTTCAATTCTCTTTTCGAACCAGACAGAAATCTGCCTTTCGGTCCGGGCTTGGCACATTCTTGAAACCAGGTTGTAGTTCTTACTTTAATTTATATTAATGATTGGGCTAGATTTGTTCTGTTACCCAAAATAGGATATACTTGGAACCCAAGCTATTTACGCTTGGCTCTCATGTTTATTATCAATTAGATTATATTTAAACAGTTGTTTAATTTGGTTTGGGTTTTAGTTCGAATGTGTTTTGGGTAACTGGTTCATATTAATATCGATTCAATTTCAAATACGGCTTACAGCAAGGTTTTTCCTTAAGCAAATTAAGTTACGAAATTTGCACTACCCTCCATTTAATTTAAATGAATATTTTAATAACTGCAAAACTTTTTGGTTCGTCTCGTTGCAATGCTCAAAACCTCCTCATTAAAGACCTGTCGTGGGATAACTTCCCCGGCTCTAAATTTGATCGTTAGTTTTAATACATCTCACTTATTTAGCCTAACCTGCACGAATCACGCATATTCAACTGCGTCTAAGAATCCCTTTCACCTGGTCGAACTACTTCTCGTGCCATTTAATTTTAGCCACAAGCCTAGGACTATTAAATATGTAAGGACTTCTGTGTATCTTTGGGAAAGAGGCGCAAGCGAGCCTTTATTAATGGGCCAATTTGGGCTGCTAAAAATAAAACACGGGCAAAGTTGTTTTGCCACTTAATGTTTGTATATGGTTTGTAAATAAAACAAGAGGGAAAATTCGACAAGTGTCTTAACAAATTCCGTTAATTGGCATTTGGCGTCTTTTCCCATTTGCTTGTTTTCCTCCTCGTTATTGCTTGTCGGGTAACATTTTGATTGATTCCCTTGTTGCTCTCTTATTTGCTGTTTTATTATTTATCCTCTCAAGTTATACACTTTCATTGTTATATCTAATATACCAAAGAATAGTCGGTTTATAATTTGCCTAACATTTTTTATTAAAATAAGTCAGCTGCCCCTTTTAGCTTGGAAAAGCCTGCGAGAGATGGCTAAAAGGTTGGTTCAAAAAGGGTAAAAGGGGTATAATGTATTTGTGCAACTGATTGTAACAGGCAGAAGCAAGCATCTCCGGTCTCATAAGGTATATATATTCTTGATTTGCAATAAACGAAAGTATCTCAGACCTATAAGAGCTACAAACTTGAAGGTATGTCCTCGTAGTGCACACGGAGTGCGAAATTTCAAAGTCTGCTAAATTATTAAAATTTGACATTTTATGTAATTAATTAATAATTAGGCGCTGCTTTAAAGCTGTCACAAATCTTATTACAAAGACAAATTAGAGAACTAGAAATTATAATAGAAGACGAACAAACAGGCTAACCACGTTTCTAGTAGAGCAAAAACTTGGCAAGTTTTGCTAATGACAGCTCAGCCAAAAAACCAAGTCTTATATCTGTGTGATTGCGTGTTTATCTGTGTGTGGGTGTGAGGGTATGTGTGTGTGTGTGTGGGAGTGTGTACGTGTGAATATTATCATGCCATATCACACAGAGCAAGGTCATACCATGAAAACTTTTGCATAGATATGAATGTATGCAAAACTAAACTGAAAAGAAATGTGCAAAGCATTTGCGAAAGGAAAACTCAAGGCAACTAAGCCAAAGCTTTTCATGGCACACACACACACACAACATATAAAACCAAGTGTGTGTGTGTGTTTGTGTTTGTGTGTGTGCGCGTTGTAATCATAAACGCTCTCTAATCAGCTTATTGCTAAGCGTCCAGTCCGCAGCAGAGTTAAGTGTTGAGCTCTGCATTTATTCAATTATTGTGGCTAATCAGCTTAGCAGACGGTCTCTCTAGAGTTTGCACCCTCCGTGATCTGGTCACACTGCGCAGCTCAGAAAAAGCGATTGCAAAACTTTTTGACTAATTCATGTTACGAAAAACCAAATAATAAAAAACTTCGCAAACAAAAATCAAGGTGAGCTTCAGGTTCATGTGCGGAAAAGCCTCTGAAGCCGCCAACAAAAAATTCACACCCAAAAAAAAAAAAAAAAAAACGGCATGAAATACGAGGCAAACAGTTTTTGGCCTGAATGAAAATGTTTTTCCTGAACATTTTATTTTTTCTTATTTTTTGGTCGCGTGCGCGCAGTTTATGAGCCGGTTATTTTGATTAATGTTTTTTTCTCCTTTTTGTTTAGCTGCGAATGCTGCAGCTTCATGTGGCAAGAAGCAAATGCTGCTGCAATTGCTGTTGGCACGAGGCAAGAGGCTAAGCGGATAAATGTGTCAAGCGTTGAAGGCGGCAAAAATACGGCGTAACAATTATGTGCAATTTATGGACTCGCACAAGATTAGCCCAAGATTTGAAGGCTAAAAGACACGATAACTGGTTGCCAGCAGCTTGTGTGTCCGCTCTGCAAGATAACATACTTCTTATGTCAAATTGATAGACTTGTGAATTGTGCCAAGAAATGTGGAACGCATTGATGACTTCTGCGAGTGACTTCAGTAGCAACAGCCGAGTAGATTTATCCAGTCGATAGAGGCAGTCAGCAAAATATTTTTGTATACCCTGAAGGTTATAATGGTTTTGTGGTAATGTATTTAACAGGCAAAAGAAAGTCTTTCCGACCCCATCAAATATACATATTCTTGGTCAGCATCAATAGCCGAGTCGATCCAGCCATGTCCGTCCATCCGTCCGTATATATGTATGAGCGCATCGATCCCAGAACTAATAAGAGCTAGAGACTTAACGGGCGATTGATAAAAATCTTGTTTTTGAGCAAATCTCTTAAATGTAAAGAAACCTAGAGTCATGACACTTGACATACTTCTAGAATAGTATACACAGATCAAGGTTCTCTTATTTGATCAAAATCAAAAAGTAAATCATCTGGAACTGCCCACCATTTGCGTGTGGCATTGTTGTCTGGTAAAAGAAGGTTCAGGGTATTCCCTAGAGCTCCCGACTAAAGCATTCTTATTTGTTTTCTATTATTTAATAATTGAAGTATAGGAAATAGTTACAATTCATCTGACTTTTTTAAGTAGCCGTGGATTGCTTGGTCTCTTTTGCCAAAAAGAATACAAACTTGCTTTGAATTTGATTCGAACCAGCATCCTGGCTAACGATAACTGCAGCAACTTAACGACCCAGATTATTATTGCCAATATTAACTCAGCTGTCGAACACATCCTTTCCTTCTTCTGTATCTGGTTTAGTTGACATGAAATCCTTGAGGTCAGCCACATAATCGAGTAGTAGCTGTCATATCATGTTTTATTAGAATTTTGTCGAGCGTATCTCAAGTAAATGTAGCTCGCGGTGTATTATTTTACAGCTGTCATTTTACTTTGGCTGGCATTTTTAATTAGTTAGCTTCCTTTTATTTAACGGCCAATGCGAAAAATTGTCAACTACTAAATTGTTAATGGCTTTCTGACAAGACCCTCATCCGGAATGTCCACAAGACCTTTTTTCTTTTTTGATTTGGTTTTGCATTGTTTCACATAGCGTCGAATGATATTGAACCTTTTTTGCTCATTAAAGTGTTTTGGGCACTTTGTGCTATACTTTTTCTACCTCCTCCTATTTTGCATGTTTGCAGAAAAACTTGTAAGTAATTTGTAAGTGACATGAGTTTTGATTGTCTTCTTTGACGGTTTAAAATCGATGCAAAATTGTAATTTAAGGAAACTTGAATAAATACGTTTCATAAAAAGTAATATACATAACTCTTAAGCCCATATTGAATTTAAGAAATATTTCTGACATGAATCTAATAAAGCATGTGTGGTAAAGATATGACATTTTATAAGAATCGATTAAGTAAAGTTTATAGTGTAGATCAGCATCAACAACCGATGTAGCCACGTTTGCCTGTCCTTCATCTGTGTCTATGGGAACTAGTCCTTGGGTTTTAAATCATCTTGAAACTTTGCCAGTCTGATCGAATGGGGCCACTATCACTATCATATGGCTGCCACAGAAAGATAGGTAATTTTTATAGTAAAATATTATATTTTCCAAGATATTTTGATCCAACTCAGCTTCACTCTTCTTATATATTTGTAAAAGGGAAATTCGGCCTTCCAAAGATATATTTTCCCATGAAATGTTCTGATTTGCTTTCGGGCTAGTTCAGTTGATTTGTTTTAAGATTACAGTACATTGTAAAATTCAAGTTAAAGAAATATCTCTCTATCTAGCAAAATCTAACTTTCTGATTTGGTAATCTTTCTTAAACATAATAATATATGTGTGTCAATAAGATAAAATTGCATTTTTAACCAAAAACTTAATTTTGCTTGTGCTTGCAGCAAACAAATAATAAAATAAAATAAGAAAATAGCAGAAAGCAGCACAGAGAACGCATATAAGGAACAAACGGAGCAGGACGAAGCACAAGAAGGCGAGAAGGCAGCTGGGTGGCAGCGATAGCAGAATGTCAAAATGCCATCGGCAGATCAAATCTTGTTCATAAATGTCACCACAACGGTGGCCGCGGCAGCGCTGACAGCTGCTGCAGCCGTCAACAGCACGCCAGAGGCATCCACAGCGGCAGCAGCAGCAAAGGCGGCATCGGCGCCAGCAACGGGCAACGGACGCAGTGCAGCCACAGTGGACACAGCAGCGGCAGCGGCATCCACAACAACAGCCGCCCTGGCGGCCAATTTATCGGGCTCGCTGGTGGACAGCCTGACAACGGCAACTGCCACAGCGACGGCAACGGCGACGGCGACAGCTGCAACAATTGTGGAGACAACGCATGAATGTGGCGCCCTGGCGGCGGAGGAGCTGCAAGGCAGCTTTCTGGGCGTGCAGCTGGCGGTGCCAGAATGGGAGGCGCTGCTCACCGCACTGGTGCTCTCCATCATCATAGTGCTGACCATTATTGGCAACATTCTGGTCATACTGAGCGTCTTCACCTACAAGCCGCTGCGCATTGTCCAGAACTTTTTCATTGTCTCGCTGGCCGTGGCGGATTTAACGGTGGCTCTGCTGGTGCTGCCATTCAATGTGGCCTACTCCATACTGGGTCGCTGGGAGTTTGGCATACATTTGTGCAAGCTTTGGCTAACCTGCGATGTGCTCTGCTGCACCTCATCCATATTGAATCTGTGCGCCATTGCACTGGATCGCTATTGGGCCATCACCGATCCGATTAACTATGCCCAGAAGCGGACGGTGGGTCGTGTCCTGCTGCTAATCTCGGGGGTGTGGCTGCTGTCGCTGCTGATTAGCAGCCCACCGCTAATTGGCTGGAACGATTGGCCGGATGAGTTTACCAGCGCCACGCCCTGTGAGCTAACCTCGCAGCGCGGCTATGTCATCTACTCATCGCTGGGCTCGTTCTTCATACCGCTGATCATCATGACCATTGTGTACATCGAGATCTTTGTGGCCACGCGACGCCGTCTGCGTGAGCGCGCCAAGGCGAACAAATTAAACACCATCGCATTGAAGTCCACAGAGCTGGAGGCCATCAATACTAGCGGTGCGGCGGCAGCAGGTGGCAGCTCGACCAGCTCCAAGGCGCGCGCCTTGGGCAGCCTGTGCAGCAGTTGGCTCTGCTGTGGACGGGATCGCGCCAACTTTGCCACGCCCATGATACACAACGATCAGGAGAGCCTCAGCAGCGAGACACACGCACAGCCCGAGCCGAACAAGGAGCAACAGCAGCAGCAGCAGCAGCAACAGCAGCAGCATGTTGTCGTGCTGGTCAAAAAGTCGCGTCGTGCCAAGATCAAGGACTCCATTAAGCACGGCAAGGGGCGCAGTGGTCGTCGTTCTCAGTCATCCTCGTCGACGTGCGAGCCGCACGGGGAGCAACAGTTGCTGCCACAAGCCAACAGCAACAATGCCAGCAACGCCGCCAAATCGGATCCAGAGATAAGCACAGAGAGCGGCAGCGATCCCAAAGGTTGCATACAGGTTAGTTATTCTGATCTATATATAAAGCTGTTTTTTCTGATTGTTCGAATGAAAGTCCAACTGACTGACTGACTGGTGATTGGGAAATTCCAGCAGCAAGTTTGAGAACTTTAGGAAAGTTTATTGTTATCTTACAAACGGTTTTTAGCTGCTTTTCCCAGATCTTTGTTCAAATCCATTTAAAAGGTGTTTCACACCTTCCGGCAAGTCCACTACCCCTTGTCGGAATTGGGAGTTAAGATACTATCTGTGACATTTCTAGTTCAAAAGCATTTCCAAGAATCTTTATGAAATTTGATTTCACAACTTTTTCTTAATAAACAAATTTTTGTTAAACGAAAGATCGATCATATTTCTGAAATATTTACTGAAATATGGAAAATAAGTTTTTCTGATATGTAGAAAAACATTTTTTGAGTGCATTAACTAACATTTGACGAAAATGGACTAAGTCCGATCAAAGCTTATAGTCTAAATGACAACACATTTTTCCACAGAACACATATATATCTATAAGAATGTTAATTGGCATGTCTTGTGCCAAGAATGAACTTAAATACCACCATAAATATTTAAATTAAATTGCTCAGGTTTGCGTGACCCAGGCCGAGGAGCAAACCTCGCTGAAGCTAACACCACCACAGTCGTCGTCGACAGGCGCAACGGCTGCTGCCCCGGCGCTGCAGAAGAAGCCGAGCACCGTTAATCAGTTCATCGAGGAGAAGCAGAAGATCTCGCTGTCCAAGGAGCGGCGAGCGGCCCGCACACTGGGCATCATCATGGGCGTCTTTGTCATCTGCTGGCTGCCATTCTTTCTGATGTACGTGATCTTGCCATTCTGCCAGAGCTGTTGTCCCACAAACAAGTTCAAGAACTTCATCACCTGGCTGGGTTATATTAACTCTGGCCTGAATCCGGTCATCTATACGATATTCAACTTGGACTATAGACGCGCATTCAAAAGACTGTTGGGCATCAACTGATACGCTGATCTTGGCAAATCTAGGCGGCAGCAGCAGCAGCAAAGGGAGAGCGTTAGTCAAAGTTTGTGCCAAAAGTTAATCTGATTTGGGATGATGTGGAAACACCTGACGAAATACTAAAAAAAAAAAACGATATGGTTTCACTCATTTGTATAAAGATCTCGAGTTTTCATCTAAACTAATATGCAATTTATAAATATATTGACAATTTTAAGCAATTTCTAAAAGCTACGTGTTAAAATAGTTTTCTTAGACTTTAACTATTTATTTGTGTTAAGAGCTTCTCGTTAATTATTTATTTATATGTCGAGCGACTCTCGCTTAAAATAAGTCTCTTACTTTTGTCAGGTGTTTCTGCCATTGGATGGGGCATACCTGGCCGTAATTAGATAAATCTAAACTGTTAAATATACTCATCAAATAAATATAAAATGACAAATTTGCTTAGATAAGAAATTAAATAAAAATATAAAAAAAAAACAACAGCATCAAAGTTAGAGCAAAACAAAAATACAGCATCCAAAAATATTAATATTAAAACGTAAAATACGTAAATAAAATAAATAAAAAATGAAAACCAAAAATGAAAATCGAATTGAATTTAAATAAATGTTTAGGCACAAGTTTGTTGCAGACTTTCATGTTTCACTTTTCAACGCATAAACTAATTATATAGAAAATACGTAAATAAAATATAAACTAATATAAATAATGGTTAGTTAAATGCGCGCGCTCAACTTTAAGAAACTTCCAACAGCTGTTTTCTTAGGCATTACTTTAAATACTTGTATTAAATTTTAGGTAGATGAATTAATTACAAATAATCGAACTTGTTGTTAATGTATGTATACTTTGAGGTACGCTTAAAAAGATTTGTTAAATAAGTTAATTATACGTAAATTATTTTCATGGCTGAGCATCAAATGTGTTGAGTGTGCAAAGGCACAGCTATAAGCTTAAATACCTAATAATAATTCACAGAAAACAAAAATCAAATAAGTAAAATATACAAAACAAAAATTTAAATGTATTATTGCATTGTGCAATAGAGTTATAAAATATATATACTTACATATATATATATATAAATCGGTGTATAAAATCAAAAGAATTTTGATGATGTACGTTAATTTCACTAATTAAATTGTTTAATTAGCAAATGCAAAATGAAACAAAGCAAATGAACAAAAAGACAGATTCGAATAAAAGTTATGACAGATAATTAAAATACATTCCCTTTGTTTGTAAATTGAAACTCTGAATTTCGACCTTATTTATCGATTTTAGACCAATAGCAATTAAATTTAAGTGAGAGTAAAATCGCATTAGGGTCTGCCACTACGTTTCTATTTCAAATTTACATAATGTGTAACGGCTTAAATTTAAAACCAGCCAGTGCTGTGAAATATATACCAATGGCTCTAATGCTTGCACTGTGTGACCCTTATGTATATTAAATAAATAACCTGTTGCTTAACATATGACCGGTTCAGCGTTTTGCAGCCCAATAACCTTTACAGTGGCTGCCATTAACATATTCGCTTGGTTTAACAGCAGTCACCATAATGTTCACTAACAGTTTCTGGTATTTCTTAGTGAGAGTGCTGACAGAAGCTGCCTGCTATGATTCGACTTAAGGCGCTCACTACTCAAATGTGTATTAACAGCTCTGTTAAATACATCAGCAGTGCAGTATTTTCTGATAATAACCAAATAGTATTTTGGGGCTATTAACATTACATTTCGAGCATTTACCGCTGTTTACCAAAAATTTATTAGTCATATAATTTTATATTTAGTTGCAGTCATAAGTGAAAACTAAAGTTATATTAATATATTAAATCGTGCGCTTCATTAGCAAATAACAACACTAAAATGCAGGTAAGTCAAAAGCACCTACACAACGCTTATTCATCATCATTGGTTCATTTTTCATTGCTTATTTCTGTATGTATATATGTAAATATCTTTAAGCATGTGCATTCTTTTATATCCATATTTGGTAAAAACACATCCAAAATGAAACGCACGAGTGCGCCGACCATTTTCTGAATGGAAACTTAATTAAATAGTATTTGCTATAGGACCCCAACGAAGATACCGAGTGGAACGATGTGCTGCGCGCAAAGGGAATCATCGGGCCAAGGCAAAAGGAGGCTGAAATCACAGAAGATCAAATTCAGGCAATGATGAATGACGTCATCCAGCGACGCACAGATCTGCCGCCCCAGGAGGGACAGCGCGACAAACGCATCGATGACATGTCGCTGGATGAGCTGGACGAACTAGAGGATTCTGAGGACGAGGCAGTGCTGGAACAGTATCGCCAACGACGCATCGCCGAGATGCGAGCAATAGCCGAAAAGGCGCGTTTCGGCAGCGTGCGTGAAATATCCGGGCAGGAGTACGTCAACGAGGTGACCAAAGCCGGCGAAGGCATCTGGGTGGTGCTGCATCTGTACGCCAACGGCGTACCCCTCTGCGCCCTCATACACCATCACATGCAACAGCTGGCTGTGCGCTTTCCGCAGACGAAATTCCTGCGCTCCATAGCCACCACGTGCATACCAAATTTTCCTGAAAAGAACCTGCCCACAATTTTCATATACCACGAGGGTGCGATGCGCAAACAGTTCATTGGGCCGCTGGAGCTGCGCGGCGATAAACTGACGCTCGATGAGCTGGAGTATATGTTGGGCCAAGTCGGTGCAGTGCCTACTGAAATTAAAGAGGATCCCAGGCCCCAAATCAAGGACAAAATGCTGGCCGACTTGGAAGACAAGAGCGCCGACTTCTACTAAATCTCATTTTAAGATCACGTGTTCGTTAATTAACCATTTCATGTTGCAGTACAACAATCTGGGAATTTATCTTCAGACGGTCTGTGCATATTTGTTAACAAATTAAAAACAATTTTTACTGCCAGGATTCACTTGTTATGCGATTTCACACTGCTCGTCGAGGACTTATTTGTGCCCTTTGGCTTGCTGCGAAATATATTTGGATCCAGGATATTGTACGGATGCTCGCAGGCGGGATTTATGATGCGTCCGCGCCGCAACTCGTGCTTCTCCAGCAGGTGCGGAGCTAGCAGCAGAAACAGCTGCTCCGTCCACGAGGGCAAGCCAAAGCTGGAGAAGCACAGCTCCCAGTAGGGCAGGCCCAAATGCGCTATGGCCATGCGCAAATACTCGCTAAACGTCTCGGCCAGAAACTGCCAACTAAGGGTGCTTAGCTCGAGCAAATAGAACCTGGGACTGTTCGAACTGGTGGAATCGTACAACATGCACACCTGCAAATTAGAATACCATACATGTACATACACATACTAGTTGCAGTTTTACAGGACGTCTCACCTTGGCCAGTTCATTTATGTTGTTGATTTCGAATATCTTGGTCTTGGCCGTAATGATAGGCGTGGCGTTATCCCATTTGTCCTTGGCAGCAACAGTTGGTCCACTGGCAATCGCAGTCGCAGAGCCGGAGCTGTTTACCGAGTGCGTGTTCTCGATATTCTCGCGCAACAGCGTCACCTGCAGCAGGTGCGGAAAGTGTATATAGCCCACGCGGCGCACGTCATTAGCTGATGGCAAGCGTATGATGGATTTATGGAGAAACCATATAACTCACTAAACTTACGCGCATATTGATAGCTCCAGTTGAGCACAAAGCCATCCGTAGACAAGTAAAACTTTTTCATATCCTCGGGCAGATAGACACAGTGCCGCTGCTCCCAATTTATCACCTGGCAGGGATTCAGCGGCTGACGACGCTCGAGATTAACATTGCAGACTCGCGGCACACTTGCTATTGTTTGGAATTTGGAATGGATTCGATAAGTCAAGTGGCCCGGCTAAAGCACACTACTCACATAGAGTTTTGATGAGGCCCAAGGTCAGATTTTCGTAGAATGCATCTTCCGGTGAGAGTTTCTTGTTCATTTTTAAATGTTATTCTTGTCGTTTTGAAATATTTTAAAGACTTGTTTGACGACGACAAGTTGGGGTAGTAAACAATTCGGTCCTGGCACTGGTTGTTCTGGTAACGGCTGCGATAACAGCTGGAAAGGCTGACTTGTTATATACTTCTCAGTCAGTTGAAGGCAGGAATAGGTTTCTTTTGGATTGTCAATTGGTTGAAATCGATTTTATTTTTTTTGTCTTTGTAGATATCGCATCGAAACATAAGCACTAGTGTACAGTTTAATGTACTTTATAGAATTTGGTTAAAATTGATCAATATTGGACTACTACTTTATCAAAAATTTGAAAAACTAATACATTTATATTTAGATACGATTACAATATCGTAGGTATAGTTATCATGCGATCACAAAGTAATTGGAGTATATTAGGTTTGCGCAATGTCCGTCTGTCCGTCTTGTTTTCCGTCTGTCCGTCTACCTACTTGGTAATCTTCATATACCTTCTACTTCTACTAGGGACGTTTAATACTTGTGAGCTATTCCAGAGCTTGTTCCAAGAATATGTTGTTTACGCCCATTAGGGGCGTTAGCAATATCTACACATACATATTGATTAAGCTATTATTGAACTACACGACTCTTGTTCTTAAATAGAATTGAATCATGGGATTTGAACATTATTGAAAGCATAAATGGCTGCATGCAGGAACGTTTCACATAAAATATTCATAAAATCAATATGACTACTATTTATTTATATATAATACATTCAAAACGAAATGTATTTACACAAAAAACAAATGATAAAGATATTGATGCACGTTTTGAAAATATGAGAATGAAATAGCACGACATAAGCGATTGGTATTACAGAGCTGAGATCAGGACTCTCATTCCTTAGCCTGACTTGGGGTTTCGCACTCGGCCTCCTCCTCGTGTCAGGATACCTCCCATACGGTGGACTCCACCGAACGGCGCGGACGCGCAGCGACCTCCACATGGGCGTCTAGGCCATCGCTTAGGCGACTGAAACGGCGTGCCCAGCTGCCGCGCGCATTCATTTGGCCACCAGCTATGGAGGTGCGGCTGGTGGCGTCTCTGAACAGGCTCATTATGTCTTGATTGTCTCCTTGCGCTCGCTTGATGCCGTGCTGGTATTTGGCTTCCTTGGCAAGCAGCTGCTCGCGCTGCATTTGTGTCTTCACCTCGGACGGTACATCGGGTATGATGAACTGCATGATGCCGGTTAGCACGAAAACCACATGCTATTACGAACGATAAAAATCCATGTTCATTTATTGGACATTAGGTTTAATTTAGTTAATGCACGCGTTTACCTCGAACACCACGACGAACGCCAAGCGTGCGGCAAATACATGCCAATAATGGGGACTAAGTCCATACGGCTCATAGTCCTTGGGGCCATTGCTATCAGAGGACGACAATCTAAAAATGTGACTCAAAATTGATGGAATATGGCTTGGCTTACCGATAGCCTCGATATTTGCAGGTGT